GCCTTGTTCGGGGCAGATTGGATCGGAGACCCGATTTTGTGAGAAAAATTGCCATCCTTATTTGTAAGGACTAAATCCGCCCTCTAAAATTTGAGGTACCACTTCCAACAAGGATTTTGGATTTCGAATGGGTCTATCTAAGCATAAAAAAATTAAATATCATTTTTAGAATTTGGGTTTAATAGGTTGTATCATAAAATATGGTAACTTTGTTTTAAAATAATATTTGCCTTGATTTTGGTGCAGGTCATAAAAATTAGGGTAAATTATATGGACCTTGAGGTAAGTGACAAAGACCCTTTGCACTTTTTTTTTTTTTTTTGCGATAAAAACCCTTGTAAACTTTTATGTTACGACAAATGCCCCATCGGCTGTTAAGCCAGATAATGAAAGGCATTAAATTACGAAAATATCCCATTAAACTTTTTGAATTATTTTCTTGCCATTCTCTCTTAAAACCCAACTGACCCAAAAATACCTTTAATCGTTACCGATTATTATTGGAAGTTTCACCTTTTTGTGGTGGTCTTGCCCCGAAATTCATTTCCATTGAATCTCTGATCAGGTGGATGTGTTATCCATTCTTCAAGTCAAGCGTCAGGTCAGGTCAGGTGGATCTGTTATCCATTCTTCTGCAACCAATTTGGCCCGTTGCTACCGGCAAAACTCTAGCATGGGTTGTAGTTCAGGTGTCATGTATGCTGACATGGCCACTAAGCTCTTGAACTGCAGAAGGCGTATTAGGTATGGGCTCATCATAGTAACCGGTGACATCAATTTGAATTGGTATTTTGGCAATGACCGCTCGATGCTCGTCACCATTCCAATTGCATCTTCCGCGTTGGTTGAGAGAAGCTAAAATGGAACTCGTGCACATAGCGCATGAAAGAAGCCATATTCTTTGATTGGAGATTTCATCCGCAGAAGATAAGGATGATTTGGGTTATCAAGAAATGTGAGACGATGCTTCCAAGAGAAAGGATTTTCAATGGGGATTGGAAAATAAGAAGTGTACAACTAATGAGAAAGGATTTTCAATGGGGATTTCATCCGCAAAGAATCCTTTATTTTGGAGATGTTTCGCCATGAAAGAGTAGAAGCAGGAGTTTGTTTCCTACTTGACTGCTTGGTGGAATTGTGGAAATGGGTAGAGGTGGTAATGAGCCGAGTTTTTAACGCGTTCAAGCCTAATTCATTGGTTCGATTATGAAACGAGCCAAGTTTTAATAGGCTCGAGATAAGACTCGTAAGTTAGCTCAAATACATATAAAAATATTATAATTCTTATTTTTTAAAATATCAAATAAAAATATTTTTATATATAATTTTTTATTTTTATAAAATATTTTTTTTTTCAAAATCGAACTCGAGCCGAGCCGAGCTCGAACTTATAAATTTTTTACTTAAGCCGAATTTGAGCTCAAAATTTTGGCTCGAACAAATTCGAACTCAAACTTTATAAAACAGTCTCAAGCCAAACTCGAACCTCATACTATTCGGCTCAGTTCAGCTCAAATCCACCCTTAAGCAATGGACACGAGTGAAATGATGGTGTGGGCTGATCGCATATAAGGGAGCCAATATAGGAATTGAATTATGCTGGGGTGGCCGACGGAGGTATTAGGGCTGGAACTTGGTACGGATATCCGATCAACTGGAAATGGATACATGACCAGTAGAACCAAGGCAGGGTTGGATGACGGTGGAAGTGGAACTAGAATGGGTGGCAGAGATACCGGAGATGAAACTAGAAACGTGTGGCCAGAACCAACCGCAGTGGTGTATGACACTGGAGCTGGAATGGGTGGCAATACCCGCAGAGACACCTGGAACGATGATAATTAGAGCTGGAGGGGGTGGTGGAAATGGCAGAAACATTGTGACCAGAATGATTCGCATCTCCTTCTCTTCTCTTTGTCCGGTCACCCCAAATCTCAATTCTCACCAGTGATCAAGGGTAGTTTAGGCATTTAAAAATTTTAAACAGTTAATTAAGAATCTTTTTTGAAATCCACTGACAAAATATTAACGGAAAGGGTTTTTGTCTCACGGTCAAAGTTTAGGGGTATTTTTATGAAAAAAAGTGTAAGGGTCTTTGTCAATGATTCTATAGTACAAAGAGTGTAATTTACCCTAAAAATTAAATTGATTATATAATATCAATTTATAAATTTACCTTATTTAGTTACAATCACACATCGGGAATATTACCGATGTGTATGATACAAGCAAATAAGTTTGACGCCAACCGAAGACCAAAAAAAGGAATATGAGATGAGATCCGATGGAGATAAAACTAAAATAAATAAATAATTAAAACTTTACCTTACCACAAGAGTTGTATAAAAGCTGCTGGGTAGAAGGAAGCACAGAAGAGATAAAGATGCCCCAAAAGTGCCATGTACCATCTTCCAAGTGTGACCGACTGTTATATGTATTCCTGCTGGCTGAATATAATACCATTGGCGCACGCTGTATTTTGTTAGTTTGGCTGGATTACGATTAGAAACAGGGCGGGGATCATATTTTTTGTCTTCAATCTCGATTCTTGATGCCTTAGTTATCTAAACACAGTCAGTCATACCACTGATGCTAGGATCAGTAATCATATTTCTTAAACTATTCTTATTATTTAGCTAATTGATAAACTGTATTTTACAGTTTAACTATTGTCTTACATCATCCCTATTGTTCCTAACAACTGTTATCATTGTTAAATTCTAACAAAAATGATGAAAAGTCAGTTTTACCTTTTTATTAAATCGCGCCCATCTATCTTCAAACGTTGCACCTCCTTCCTGATTCCATATCTATTATCATCACCGTAACCCAAATCCCCATTATTGAACCATCATCGTCTTCGACAATGAATAGAATGACCATATCAGAGGAGAGGAGTGGCAGTTACCTCCGTAGAAGATTAAAGGTTACTCTCCCTCTGTTGATCTCCCTTTGTAATCCTGATGACCGCACTACCTAGCATGTTTGCAGTGTTTCCCCCTTTAATCCTGAGGGTGCACCACAAAAGAGAACTGGATTTCTCTTCTGAAAATTTCAAGTCCGGGTATAAAAGAGGGGATTGACAAAGCATGCTTTGGTCACGCCAGAAATTCAACAAATAAGGGGACGATCTGAGTATCTCTTACATCTCATATCTGAGTTCCTTGCAAATTTAAGAGATACTCATCTTTGATCGCCTCAAATTTACATAGATCAAAATTTCGACGCCCAAATTGTCCAAATCCCCTATTGCAAGCTTTCTTCAATTAATCACTAGTCGAAATCGTCCTTCCCCTACTCAATTCTTATTGGGTGCGAAGATCGGATTCTGATTGCAAAAAAAAAAAAAAAAAATCACACTGAAATCCCCGATCCCCAATGGGGACCCGACTTCCCCAACCCCATCGGGTTAGGGATGGGGATTGTTTTGGCAGATTGGGGACGGAGACGGGGATTAATAGGAATCCCTGATCAAGGTCGGGATCGGGGATGGAGATTGAGGTCCCCGACCCCGATTATGTATGTATGTGTATATATATATATATCAAAACATATTTAAAAAATTATTTATAATTTAAAATTCTTATTTATTTTAAGTAATTTTTTTCAAATAAATATTATTATTTAAAAAAAATCAGGGATTCAGGTCCCATGGGGAACTCATCCTCGTCGGGGATCGGGGACAGGAAATATGATCCCCACCCTGAACCTGCTCTGTTGCCATTCCTACCAACGACTACTGTGAAGAAGGTGTGAACTGTGAAGTTTGATTTGCCACTGCTAAATGAAGAAGACTTTGAAGGAGGAAAAGAAGAAGAGAAATGAGGGAATGAAGCGAGGAATGAAGAGTAAAAATGAGTTTCAAAAAAATATATATATAAGTTATGTGATATAACGTATGTATAAATTTTGACGGTATATTAATAGATGCTAAATATAAAGATAGAACTAATCAATTGTCAGACACAATAGAGATAGTTTAAAATAATAATTAAACAGTAAGAATATAGTTTATCAATTAAATAAATATTAGGAGTAAGTGTGGAATTCCGTTTTCACCAAAAAAAGTGCATGTTGTCGAGGGGTGTCAATTGGACTGGATTTGGGCCGATCTGACCCAGTCCAATGTGAGTCTATTATATGTGGAGCAGGTCCAGTTTAATCTAATAAATGTTTTGGACCAATTTAGACTGGTCTAATTCAATGTCTGAACCATCCAATCTGTTCAAATTTATTTTGATTTAGATTGGTTTCAACCTAAATCCGGTCTATTGACACATATATTCTTATCTTATATCAATGGACCAGATATTGGCTTAATCCAACCCAATCCAATATTCCAATATAAATTTGTTACAGACGGATAAAGTCCAATCAAATCTAATAAATATTTTAGACAGGATTAGTCAATGAGTTATGAGCCATCCATCCGCCGCCTCCCTCCTCCTCCTAGATTGATTGTTAAACTTGTGTGACCTCTCCTCTCTTCAGTCTTCACCCAGGAGAAGTTGAAGTACTGGTGGGTGGTGGTGGAACAGAGAGCAATTTGTTCTTCTATGATTGCATTCTCCGGATGCAAAATTCTGAATACTGTTTATTATTGACTTTTAGATAGATTAAACAAAGGAAGATTCTTTAACTCAATCAATGGAGGAGAATGCCTTGCTCTCCCACTTTAAAAAAGATCGGTGCGACCTTGCCCATCCTAAAGTCTAACAAATGTAAATTCCAATCAACTTGTCCTTTTGACCTAATTTTATCATTAAGCTCCTCCATATGACCGCACGATTAGAAAGAATTTCAAATGAATCCTTCACTCCTATGCCAATGAAATTGACGTGTAGAACTTCAGTAGGCAAGAACTAGAAGGCAGCCCACTTTGACGCGTTCCAACTTCGAACCCTTTTCGCTTTTGAATATTTAATTAATATTCTTGGCCTGTTCATTGTTTCTCCAAATCCATACAAACCTCTGCTCCTCTCCTTCAGTCTCACTTCTATATAAAGATGTGAAGCCCAGGTCTGTCAGAGCAGAAGCTTTTGAGTTTTGGAGGAAAGAAGAGGCGGAGAGAAGGGTCCTACAGTGGTGGTGTCTCTTCGCTTCGCTGCTGCAGATAGATTTCTTTGTAATCATATCGGAGATCAAAAGAAGAAAGCTTCCTGCAGCAACCATTTAAAATCCTCCTCAGCGCATCAAATGGCTCGCTCTTTCTCGAACGCTAGGCTTTTCTATGCTCTCGTGGATGGAGTCTCAGTTTCCGTCAACAGGTAAGAAAGATTAAAAGTTCTCGACTCTATACCCTGCTATACCCTGAGTTTCTTTGGTTTTGATATTAACTGGACGGAGGAAGCTAGCTCCATCGTTCAAATCAATCCCTCGTCAGTTGGTAGTCCCATTTGAGTTGTTGGTTCGAGCCCTCCTTTCTTCTGGGGGGGTTGAACTTGAACTGCGCTCAGAAATCCATTCCATTGTATTTCTTTATGACTCAGAGCGGGAGCAACAAGCTCGGGTTGATGGAAGCACGTGAATATATTCTCTTTAGCTTTATTTTGAGTTGTTTTATGACTAATTCTTTACTTTCTCTGAATGGAACGTAACAGGCGAAGTTATTCGACGGCGGCAGCAGCAGCAGCGTCGGTAAGAGGAGGTGGGGCGATGGGTGGAATGGGGAAACGAGGAGGAGGAGGAGAAGAGAGGGGAAAGATGAATGAAAGAACAGAGATTTCTTCGTCGTGGGTCCCGGATCCTGTGACCGGCTACTACAGACCGGAGAATCGTGGTGCCGAAATTGACGTAGCTGAGCTTCGAGAGATGGTCCTGAACAACCGCAAGATGAGGCAACAACACTAAAAGAAAATAAAAGGTTCTTCAACACATTGGATTTGGACCTGCTTGTGATATTTGTCTGTCTTCTTCCCTCGAGGAAGAGTTTTTTTTTTACTTGGGTGGTTTTGTTTAAAAGCCTAACAGACATTTCTTTCTTTCTTTCTTTCTATCGTCTGTAGGAATGTAATCGCCACCGAACGAGGGGTGCTTATTTTATGTTTAGGATTGTAATTCCAACTTCTGTAGTGTTATTGCTACCCATATTTCGAACCAGAGTCAGGCTCAAAGGCAAAATAAATACATTTGAATTTTGATGTAATGATCCATCAAATATCCATCCAAAGGATATGATTATCCAACCCCAGAGTCCCAGACCCCTACTCCCAATTCCTACTAGTTGGGCATAACCCACAAAACAAAAGAAACTCAATTGGTCTTTGATTCTTGAACAAGAAAGGCATCATCCTAAAAGAAAGAACTTGGAAGGTGTAATTGTTTGAAAAGATCAGTCTCACCTCTCACCTTTTGGTAGGGTCCAGCCATGTATACCAGGTCAAAAACTCTCAAAGGGAGGCTGATTCTCTTCCGCAATAGAGAGCCTTACACGGAAGAAAATTACCTTTATGATGACACAGCTGTCTTTTCTCTCTAGTTCCTACATACAGAGGTGATAGGGCTTCAAAGTTCTAAAGCATCGGATTCCAACTGGATGTTCAATTAGTCTTCATATTTGCATCCAAATGCACCTGAATTAATTTCTCGTATCAACCAGCAAACCAAACCGTCAGGCTTTATAATCAAAAGCCAAGCCTTTGCCCCCCACCACATTCTAAATAATAATATAATTAAAACTATAAGCATTTTTACCAGTTTCGTCCCTTTAGGTTAATATTTTGAGCGTTGGGTCCTTGGCCAGACAGATTGGTATCAGCAGGAATAGTACCCCTACTGGTAGCACTTTCGTGGGTTCCTCATCGTCAAACTATTTAACCCGTGACCCAGCAGACATTCCGGTTTTATGTCCGGTCTGAGTCTTACAACATCCATTCCTGCTTTGGTCAGGGCCTCAATTCTCAAGTAAGCCTGTCAATGATATCCGAAAATCTAAGCCAATCTGATCTCACATCCCATTCGATTATCTTGGATTTGGATTGTGTATATATATGTAATTGGGTCGGATTCAGGATGTTTTAATCTATATCCAATTAATAATCAGATCAGATTCGGATTTGACTCCATCTGATCTGATTATAATATGATATTTATTAATTTTAAAATATAAATTTTATATACTTATATTTAAAATTATAAAAATATATTCTATATTATATATATATATATATATATATAATGAATTTAGTGTGTTACATTTATATTAATTTATTATATATAAAGGTTAAAAAATAAATAAATTTTTAATTTTTCTGGTATTTTAGAAAATTTATAGAAAAACCAGATTAAATCCAAATCCGATCAGAGTCTATTAGGATTCGGATTCAAATCCAAGTCTTTAAATCCAATTGGATTTCAGATCGGATCGGATGCGGATTTTGGTGCATCCGATCCGATTACAGCCTTACTCTCAAGGCTGATGGAGATTATGGTGGCGAATATAATCTATTAGGGCCCACTTGGTTTGCAGGAATAAAGGTCTGGAATCAAAATTGGAATTGGCTATTCCAATTTCAACTGTTTTGTTGGGCAGAATCAGAATTCCATTTCCATTTCTAGTGGAATGGCATTTTCCGATTAGAGGGAATTCCCTTCCTTTGGGAATGAAATCCTATTCCTGCTGATACCAATAATTCTCATTCCAATTCCTGTTTGAACCAAACAGATTATGGGAATAAATCATTCCGATTCTGAAAGATTTCAATTCAAATCCGATTCTAATTCTGATAATGGCTGCGAACCAAACAAATCCTTACATCATTAGATGGACTCAAGGTGAAAAAACGATCAAAATCAGTGAACCGTACACTTTCTTCACGTTCAATTTCCTCGAGTGTAAATACTAGAACCTCACACTAATACTGTAGATCATAGATGCATACCTCAAAACCTCTAATACTTTTTCTATAGTATCCTCATTACAGGGGAGGCCAACAATCTTAATAGGGACAAAGCAAGACCGAGTAAAGGGAGAGGCTTTTACTCCCAGCCAGCCTCTTATAGAAGAAACTCCACCTTCAAAGTCAAGCTACAAAACATGTAAAACTGAAGTGTCTGAAAAAAAAAATCGTGTAGCTCCAATAAAAAAAAACTAAAGGATTGAGAACAAAGAGAAGATTGGGATGAAAGGTTCAATTACTCCAGGTAGAGCTTCCATCAATTATAACAGGTATTTATCTTTGCTGCAATTACTCCTTTCTTTGTTAGAATCATTTTATGATTCATCATCATCATCATCATCCAAACCTTATCCCACTGTATGAGATAATAATTTTATGACAAAACAATAGATAATCATGGATGCAATTTATTCTCAACTTGTCGTTGCCTAATTTAATTCATGGACTTGATATATGAACCCAAGAGTCAGTTTGATGCTTTCTTACTAATAGACTATAAATGTGGAAAAATGCTTTCTGTCAAACATAGAACATGTATAGGTTTTCTAGGTGCACTTCGATACAAGTCATTGCCCAAAGACCTTGAGAGCTATGAGTCTATGATTCGAAGTTTCCAACACAAGTTTGCTTTAATTTCTTTTACCACTCTTTGTTTCTTTGTTTTCTTATCATCTCATCTTCTTCCTCAAACCTCTTCAGTCTCAGTACCATTAGAAATTTAGAATAGAGAAAGTCTTGCCACCGTAAAGCTTCCTTATGCTCTTGGAGAACCAGCCTGTTAGGTTGAAGAGACGCTAAAGGAAGATGATTTACTGGGGTTTTGTCTCGTTTCTTCTTGGTTAGTTGTTTTCTGTTTGCCATCCATACCTTCCTTTATATTAAATTGAAACATTACTCCATAAAGTATGTGTTTATTTCCAGTAATCCTGGCCCATCAGAGGGGCAGGAGGGGCATTGCATAACAGCAATAGAGAGGAGAGTCTAGTGGAAAGTTACAGTCGTATAGGGGAAGTCTTTCCACATGCATAGAGTGGGTTTTCCTTCAAGTTAGGAATGGATCCTGGTAGGACTCACACATGATCATAAGATGGATGATATCCAAATCGGACAGGCCTTGACATTTGAGGCATTCCCAAATTCTTTATCTAATAGATTGAATGGTTCATTGTCAAGGTTAAGCAGTGTGCCAGAAGATAACTTGACATGTGGTGCAATTAGACCTGTTCATGGGCAGGGTAGTCCGACGGCCCCGGCAACAGTCAGACTTGAATATATTCTTAAGCCCATGGGCCCAGGCTTTTTTCAGGCCAGGCTCAGGATTTCACAAAGAAGCCTAGCCCAACCCGACCCCAGCCTGACATATATATATATGCCTAATCCCATTTTCCTAATTTTCTCATTCGTGTCACCTCTCTTTCGAAGTTCGAACTCCAAACTGGAGGCTTGGAGCATTTCTTCCCTTCCACAGTGGTAGTCGGCGGCATCACCTACAGCGGCGACCGGCAAGGCAATGACAATCTTTTTCTGAGTTCCGACTCCAAGTATGCATGCCAGCCGGAAGGCAACGACGGCAACTCAAATCTATGAAACTGCTCTTTAGTTTCCGGTTCCACATTATTCCACCCTCTTCCAAAGTACTACAGTCTTACAACAATATCCATGTGTACAATTCTTTGTAATTTACATTCTAAAGTCTTTTGTAATCCATTATAAATATCTAATGATAACATGATCACAGGGCGCTTCCATTAATTTTAGATGGTATCAGAGCACCTTAGGCTCTCTCGGTCCGTTCCTTTTCTGTGTCTACAAATCACCGGAATCAATGGTTGCCACCACTGCAACTGGTAGCTTGGATGTTACCTACGGTCCAACTTTTCCATTTTTCTTGCATCCCAACATTTTTGAACAGCTGTTGACCCGAATGGTCGGACTGTTCGGCCCGGGTACCGTTCAGGCAACCGGTTCCGTTTTACTCCAAACCCAGAATCTGGTCAAAAACCATTGAAAAATTCAACAAACCGTTGACTCGAGCGGTCAAACCATTGACCCATTAACCCATTCAACGGTTTTTTACCATTTTTTTATTTTTTTTATTTTTTTTTTATTTTTCTATCAGAACGGGTCATCCATTCGAACCAGATGGTCAGACTATTGACCCAGAAACTGATGGCTAGAACAGTTCCATTTTTTAGTCATTTTTTAAAACGTTGTTGCATCCTTCAAATAATCCAGGTGCCATCTTAGTTTCCTGTCCATTAAATGGAGAAAACTACTCCACCTGGAACAAAGCAATGCGAAATGCATTGTAGAGACCAAAAAAGTCACCTGCTTAAGAACTGGCCTGGAATAAGTGTAATTCTATGGTCATTTCTTGGATTTTCAACTCTTTGTCCCGTGAATTACATGAAAGTGTGGTGTATGTTGATTCTACTCATGAGATCTGGCATGATCTAGAGGAGTGATCACAAGAAAATGCTCCTCGGATCTTTCAACTCAAGAGAGGCTTAGCCTTGCTTCGACAGGAGAATCTCTCTGTCTCAACTTATTTCACAAAGTCCAAAGCCTTGTGGGATGAATTAGCAACCTATAATTCGATCCCAACCTGCTCATGTGGAGGTGCGGCGAAGGAATTCATTGCTAAATGCGAGAAAGAAAGTGTATCGGTTCTTGATTGGATTGAGTGAGAATTTTAATACTGTTCATTCTCACATCCTCAGTCTTGATCCCTTATCCAACATCAGTCACATTTATGCACTGGTTGTGCAAGAAGAACACCACCAGAGTCTCTCGTCTCAACGATCACCTATTGTTGAAACAACAACACTACATGTTGTCGCTACATCATCAAAACCCCAAGATAAATACACCTGTCCAAGATTCAAATGTGACCATTGCAAGTGCAATGGACACACGAAAGACCAGTGCTATGAACTTCTAGGCTATCCACCAAGTTGGGGAGACAAAAGGAAATCTACATCTAGCAAATCTGCAGACAAGAGTTCCTTAAAGAATACAATTTAGATGCCCGGACATTCGGATTCAGTTTCTCCAATTGCTGGTTTGAGTCTTGATTAGTATCAATAACTGATGGATCTTCTGAACTCCGACAAGCGTGTTATTGCAATAAATTATGTTGGTAAGGCTCATSCTTGTCAACCTTTACATCATTCTAGTTCAGTTTATCCAATTGCTGGTTTG